TCCCTACATTTCTTTTTTCTATGTCGAACGCAATATTAACTATAATCATCTCAAAATGACTTAGATAATACTATTTTATCATGATTTTAATAAATATAAAGTGTTGATATACTTTTTTTTTACGCAAAATAATAAATAAAATTATGGCACAATTTTTTTTGTCAATAAAAAAATAAATTGATTGACACTTTATATTTATTTAAAAATAATACTTAGATATAGTTATTTGGTTTAAATTATTTTTTAATTAGAATTAAATATTTATCTCAATAATATATATTTACATTTAATACATATCTCATTAATGACGTGTAAAATAGTACAACTAAGTCATGAGATAATTATCTAACAAGTTAACATTTAACACATGTTAAAAAGGGGTCAATAAAATACAATTGATTAAAATAGTCTTTAATCTTTTAAATTTAAAATAAATTTACTTTTGTCCCTCAAATTTAAAATTATTATTTTTAATTCTTATAATTTTTAAAAAGAAATCTTATTTTAATTTTTATATTTAAATTTTATGAAGAAATTTATTAAACATTATTACATAAAATTTTTTTTATTGATATCTTGATAGTAAAAATATCACATTAAATTCAATTGATATTGTATAACTGTCTTAATTTTTCACTTTCAAATATATTATTGATAATTTAAGAGATTAAAACAAGATTTTCAAAAATTTTAAAAATAAAAAATAAAATTAAAAAAATATAAATAAATTTATCTTAAATTTAAAAATCTAAAAATATATTTAAACCTATAAAATTTTAATCCGTGGACAGCGAGTAGCTTGACACGAGAAAAACGCGAGGCACGGACGGACGAGAGTCGCTACAAGTGGGGAGGGTGAGAGCGTGAGACACAGTGACGGCACCAAAACGACGTCGCGTCTAGCATTAGCGAAGAATGACGGAGTTTATTGACAGCGTAAAGAAATCGACCATCAACAGAACCAATGAATGTGGGACACGTGTCCGGTTTTAGGAGACTCTAAACGCACAATTTGGATGACAACCAGCGTCGGATAAATTAATAATAAAAGAAAAACTCGGATTCCGTCGAATAAAAACACCGCACCTTTTCATCCCTCCATTTCGTGTCGCTTTTTGGCGGTTTTAATCTTTTTCGGTTTCGAACATTCGCACGAATTTCTCTCTCACTCTCTCTCTTCAATTCAACACTTCGAGGTTCGATCTTCAGCCTAGTTCTCGCTACTTTCTCTCTGGTTTCTGCTGTAGACTGGATCTTAATATTTTCGTGTTCATTATTTTTTAATTTTAATTTAATTATGCTTTCACTCTCGTTGATTTCTGAGTTTAGGGATCGGTTAGTTCGGGATTGCTTTGCTCGATGAATAAACGCGGTTGGGGTTTTATTAGTTCATTTCTTCGTTTCTGTTTTCTCGATTACTTCGCTCGCGGCATCTTAAGTAGCTCGATTTTGCCGACAAAAAATGAGGAGAAAATCATGCGAAAATATCTTTTAACTATTCCGTGAGCGATGGTCTAATTAGTAATTATTATTATTATTATTATTGGCTTTTAATCGGAACCTCAATTTTGTTGTTCTTTATTCTCCTTATTTATTTAATTGAGAAAGGCTTAAATACATCGAGTGTGTGCTTTTTACATAATGCTGTTAATTGAAAGCTTCACAGTGATATGGATTGTCTTCGTAACTATTAACTGTCTATGCCAGGATTGCTATTCAAATTGTTCTCTCTTCTTACGACCTTTAGGGATTATTTTTTATATTTTAATTAATGCAATTACTCACTGTTAATATGATTTAGTGTGGCCGTGGTAATTTTGGTCACTGTGGTTGAGTGTGTTGTTTGAAGGTAAAAAAAGTTATGTGTGGGACGAGAGGGGAAACTTGGTTGTGCCGTGTGATTCTTGTTCTGGCAGTGGTTTGGTGCTTGTGAAAGTGTGAATTGAGCAGTTTTGTGGATTTTAAGTGAGATTTGTGTCAGTGGGAGTGTTTTGTGGCCTCTGTATGCTGTTTGGCCCTTCGGTTTCTCTTGAGGATGTAAAAAGGGATGGGAGGGCTTTATGTTCTGTTTTGTTTATTGATTTTATTTTTTTCCACCTTTCTGGTTTTTGTCTTAGAGGACGTTCGGTTTTCCACTTGTTTTCTCTTCTTACACCCCTTTCTTATAATAGCTTTTATTCTGAAATCTGAATTTTGACAATCATGCGTTTGAAATATATTGGTTTTTATTTGTGATATATTGATAGAAAGACAATGATTAAATGCTTGAATAATCAACGATCGGATTATTAAAAATTGATATAAAACATAAATTATTGAATGGAGTAAATCTTAATATATTTAGTCTTGAAGTATATATATATATATATATATATATATATATATTTGTGTATATGTAGGGATCAAATTATTCCAAGAGTAACTCTCGGTAAAGTTATGAGTTAATCACCTATACACGGCTAGTGTAAAGTTTTTTTACACCGACAACTAATTATATCTTTTAATTATGTCATGTCACTGTTAAAAATAAATGTGTTTATAGTGATATGACACAATTAAAAGATATAATTGGTTGTCAGTGTAAAAAATTTTTACACTAGCAGTGTATAGGTGATTAACTCTAAAGTTATTCCACTCAATAATTTATGATGTATGTTGAATTTCAATGATAGTTAAATTAAAAAATTTTAATTTATAGATTAAGTCTACAAATTTTTAAAAGATTTGAAGACTATATATATTTAAATCAATGTATAAAATACTTTTATGATTATTCATCAATTTGAATTAATGAAATGATGTATGAAATGATTTTTATTTTTTTTAAAAAAATTTGTAAATTTGATCTATACATTAAGAACTTTTAATTTAACGGTTGAATCGTTAAAATTTAACACACTATGACTAAGTTATTGAGTGGAGTAACTTTACCAAGAGTTACTCTAGGAGTAATTTGATCCCTCCTCTCTCTCTCTCTCTATATATATATATATATTGTTTTTATTTTTTTCAAGTGAAGATCTTACATTTGTGGTAATGCATGCAGTCACGTACATTGATACATGTGGATATAAATGAGAAAAAAATGATTAAACTGATGCACATTGAAATTGAAATTGTAGGATAATATTCAACAGAACATGAGATGAATCGGGAAGAATATTTGCGGAAGTGTTCCAATATGAAATGCCAAAGAGTAAGGAATTTTTTTCATTGTTGTTATGCCTTTAAGCTCAGATATATAAGTTTTAATCTTTTTTGTTATTTCACAATTGACATTCTGCATTTTGCAAAATCTAAAGTAGAATCAATTTTGTGTATCTGATTATCTCATATCTGTTGCACCTGATCATGGTAGATATACTAAATTGACAATTCAACTGTGATGAACTGATGATTTGCACCTGAACTATTAAATTAATTGTTTAGTCTTCATCTGAAGTTTAGTTCCGATTTGGGCTTCTATGTGAAGGAGGATTTACATTGTAGAGTAAATTCAAATGTTCATCCCTGTCCACATTCAAACCTATGTCATAGACTACTTTAGGTTAAAAAAATTCCCCCTGGTTAGCACTTGTACAAAATAAATTCTCAACTTATTTTGTGAGAAAAGTTGAACCACTGGTGATGTAGGCTCAAATCTGTCAGTGTCAAAATTAACCTTGTGATACTGATTGATGTTCACTTCTTGAAATAATTCAACTTTGTTTGCTTTCTTTTAAAAATATATTGCATTTGTTCTTTTTAACAAGTGTAAGTCAATTTTACCTTTGATTGGAAGGTATACTTGGTCCTTGCAAGATTAATATTTTGAAAGAATAATTTATCAAAGCTATTTATGTGTGAACACTTATGTGGATTCACATTGTTATTTCATAATGCTCTTCTTTACTATTTAAATAAATATAGTAGCAATATGGTTTTGTTTAAAATGTATCACTTATGATATCTATGTTTTAAATTTCCATAGGTTCAGGTGGATGAATCATATGTACCTGCACTTCAAGATGAAGTAATGGAAGTTGAGCATTTGCTTGCAGAACCTAGAAATGATCATGCTTCCTTGGATGGTATATTACATTTTAATGAGGAGAATATAGGGAAATGCTATGATGCTGAAATTCTTTCCTGTGGATTTGAATTTGGTTTAAAATCAAGTAGTAGTAAACTAGTAATTCTTAAATGAGTTAAAGCTGTTCGTTCTGATTCTATTGCTTTGATTTCCATATATCAGGAAATGACATTCTACTTTGACCATTGGCAAGAAGCTATTATTTGGGTCTGTATTTTGATTTTGTTGCTAAAAAACTGGAATAAATGAAGTAAAATGATGAGGTGAAAGAATGAAGAATGAAAGAAGCACTTTACCCCTATAGGGGGTTGATCCGGAAGGAAGGTCCTTATTAAGCCTACCCCCCACACACACCCCCCC